TGTAAAGACAGTTACAAGTTCATTTCCATTTCACAAATTGCATATCTGTTATCCAAGTATGTTATTAGGAAAGTGTTCTTAGAGTAAAATAAATATATATTTATGCACTGAACAATTTTCTATTAATCTCTCACGATGTGTAAGAGGTGGTTTTAGCATAGTTGAGCTACAGCAAATGACTACAAAACAAAAGAGTGGCTCAGAAGAAATGAGAATTATATGTATGTATGTGTATTTTTAAGAGGACTTGAGGCTTTTAAATCTCTGTCTGAAGGGCTGCTTATAAGAGCTGACACAGAATAGAAATTAATATGACTGTTTTGATATTTTAAATAATGCATGAGATAATAATTTAAAATAGCACAAGCTGTTAGAGACTCTTTGCTTCTATGACACAAGATGACGGGTCAGTAAATGTGGCTGCCATACCTCCAGACCTGGTTTCCTGAGAAGAAGAGAGTCTTCCCTGTATCCTCAAAGTGAACAGCTGCACTTATCTTTTTAACCTCTTTCGGAAATCCTAGTTCAGATATTTTTTTGGGATAACCTTCCAGAATGTCATAACCATTAAGAGCCCAAAATTTTCTGCCTAGAATAAGTGAAAGAATGGTTTTATTTTAATTATCCAAGGGAATCTATTAGGACTCACATATGTAGACATTTACTTTAACAAAGACTCATCATCTTATACATTAAGAAACAAATTAGTTAGTGTTTGTGGTTANAAATATCTTGAATATCTCCAAATATCTGACCATTTGGCATTTTAAATTTAAAGTATTCAGATATTTAATAAAACTTATATTTCATGCTAAAAGTTTAGAATTGTATTGCTATAGCCTAAATAAATGAAATAGTTCTATAAAGTTTTCAGAGAGAGTGGAACTCTCTTTATAGTATAGTTATAATAAATATGCCTAATGTACATTTGCAAATTTTATTAAACCAACTTTTATTTCTATTTTGATTCATATCTAAAAGAGGTACTTTGAGATTTCCAAAGAAAAATAATGCCGGATTAACGTAACAATAATTGATGTTATGAGACATTTCCATCAACAATATTAAAGTTGCTCCTGAACTTATTTAACTTTCTATTAAATATTTAAGGCCTATCTTTAAAAAAAATGGAACCATACATGCTTTGTCATTGGTAGCTTATACTGAAAATTAGGCATTTAATACTATTAAAAAATTAACAAATATTAAAGAAAGGTAGGCTATGATTTACCTGTAGGTTAAATTCATTTTGGACCATTTGAGAGTTCGAGGGAAAACATTGTATTCACCCACATCAGGAACCCCACATCTTGGTTTTTTCATGATATCTAAGGTGTTATCATCAAGTTTGCCAGTCACCTCTAAGCCAAAAAAAGACTGCATTTCTCGGAGCCTGTCAGCCATAGAGCTTGCTGCAGTCTTCTTCAGGATGCCAGCAGGATTCAGGGGATGGTAGTATGATTTGAGGTAGTGCTAGAAAAGAGACCAGAATGACCTGCTTTTAAAAGAGAAGGGCATTTATGATGCATATCACCATTGGGATTGGCAAGATACTCTACCTCTGCAAACTGGAAGTCTTCCTCAGATAAATCGTCATCATCCTCATCATTGGGAAGTGGCAGGGACCAACAACGAGTCCAGCTCAAGAAAAGGAAGGCAGCCAGGACACCTGGGTGCATCTTGGATGGTTGTGCCTGCAGGCTGTCGTCTTTCCACAGACGAGTACCTTTACTTTTATAGGCCTACAATGGTGAGTCATCATTTATGGACAAGTTTCAACTTCCTAGTTAACTGAAGGTAAACATGCTTACATGGCGACTTTTTTTTTTCTCTCCCTAGAAGTGTGGTTTGTGGTAAAATTTGAGGGAAATAGAAAATGAGGGCATCTCTCGTTTCAGCAGGGTCTCAAAAACCATCTGGCAAAATAAACAGCCTCAGCATATTTATGAACACTGTGGGAAGAAACAGAGAGTAGTAAATTTTTCACTTCATTTGGCAAAAATATTTTTCCCTCTGTAAGAAAGTAGCTACTTTTACTTTTTTAAAATGAAAATATCAAGATAATACACTTACTTCCATAACAATAAATCTGGTCCTACTTCCAGAATGTTTATAACCTGGTGAATTCTCACTTTCATTTTCTCTAGAGCAACTACAGAAGGATATATTATGTATACCTGAGGGTAACGTTATTGGACCAGAACGAAGCTTGTACACTCAGAGGTCTTATCGTACATCCACATGATTGAGTGCTGTGGTTGGAAATTAAAAGCACTAATGTGACCTCTCAACAAACATGGAGTCCTGAATGAATTCCCCTCAGGTCCAGTGAGAGGTAGAAGGAATATTGGAATAAAATATATCATAATACAATATAATGGCTAATATATAGAGAGAGATTGCTATATGCTAGGCTTAAAAAGTATTATCTTATTTAATCCTTACAACGTTATGAAGTAGGTATTACGGGTAAGTTTTCACATTACATGTGAGTAATCTGAGACACAGAGAAGTTAAATACTTGTTAAAGGTCATTTGGTTAATAAATGATACTACCAGCATATGAACCTAGGCCAGTAGGCTCAAGGCTTCATGTTCTTAATCAT